CTTTATGTAGCTCCTAGCTGTAGACCGGTCCATAGGTTGCAAGTTCAGTTCCAGTTCCAAGTCCGGCTGGCTCAGACAATATCCAAGGGGGTATTACTTACTTGTCCCCTACTATTTAATTACCTACATCGGGGTTAATATTTTTTACATCTGGAACTAGCGAAAAGTCTTGACTTAAACTGACTCTTCGAGGAATATAAGGGGTGTCTACATTTTTCGTAACAACCCAAATTTATTATCAACGAACGACAAAATAGAATAACCCGGATAGCTGTCATCAGTAAACATAGCCAGATGACTCCTAATTCTGGAAAGCTGTATCATAATAAGAAATAAGATAATTATGAGGTACTATATTTATTTTATATCGACGTGGAATTCACAATTTCAATCGCCTATGTTTCCATCCAGAATATTCTCGGTTGAACGCCGTATAAGCCAGCGTGTTATGCCTTCGCTTTGTGCCTTAACGCAAAGACAGCTGAATATAAACGCTTATAATTTTCTACAGTCGATCTCTCTGGTATTCACGCAAACGTATCACGTTCAGGCACCAAATCTTCCAGCTTATTATCCAATTTATACTCTTTGTAGCCTTTCGTGAAAATTGTATTGTATTTTTTGTTTTAGGTACTGTTTTGTTATTCCTAAAGAGATTGGAGTAGTTTTGGGTTTTGTACTTAATTGGTTTTACACACATAATATCTTTAGCTTTATCGCGCCATTTTCCTTGGTACTAGACTTCGTTTCTAAGTACGTAGACATCACCACATAGAGCCGGCTCGACCATGAGATATGTATATGCAGTAAAACATAGTCGGCAAGCATTTGTGATAAGTCGTAGAATGTGCTTAAGCTACAGTAACCCGGTGACCGTTTACGATAACGGAGGGACTATTTTTTTATGGGATAAACCGATAAACAAGCAGACGGATCACCTGATGGGAAGCAGTCGGCGTCGCCCATGGACACCCGGAACACCAGAGGCGTTTGGTACAAGTGCGTTACCGGCCTTGATTACCGGAATTTGAAGATTGTTGGATTAGGACTAATAGGTATTACACTTATTGCTTTAACATAACATCATGCTTTTTATCCCCGACGGGGTAGGCAAAAGTGCACATTACGGCACTTAATACCACTGTACAATGTGACACCCACTTTTCACTATTGCAGTTCTGAATCCCATGTTATAGTCGGTGAGCCTATTGCCATATACCGGGCACAACTTCAGACTCCGTGCCACTACTGAATTTTTTTTTAAAACCCAGTAAATGTATTCCTGGGAACCGTCGCAATTGTCCGTCGACTACTCGGCCAACGAGGCATACTTGTTTTAAATTATACAAAATACAACTCCTTGAAAGTAGTCCTGATGACGGCCATTTGAAATCATCTATCTATGGTAGGTGATTTTATCAGAATGCTTCAAGTACTGCGAGAGAAACGTATGAATGGTGTTAACTCTTGTTTTAATTAAGTTTTACTTTTCTTTTTCTTTTGTTTATTTTTTTTATTGTTGTAAATATGTCAGTTACTGTAATTGGATTTTCTGCAGTTGTGACTGTTAAAATAAAATAAAAAAAAGTTAATAAATGGTATAGTATCGAGTACCTACCTACCCAACAATGCCACTAGGTACCATTTCATACCGCAGTTATTCACGTCACATCCCCATAAATAATAATTGGCCCAAGTTCTCGAGGACACCTTGATCACGCTAACAAGATTCTGCCCTACAGCAGATTGCGTCGTTACCAAATCTAATAATCCCGTGGATTTGGGGACTCCGTACGTAGTGCGTATTAAGGTATGTAGGTACCTATTGTGCCAATTTATCTGTTCTTTCTAAATTGGAGTACAGTTGGCCAAAGTATTTAATATCTACAATATAAAATTAAGTCGGGTTTTCCTTCCTGACGGTATAACTCCAGAACGCACTAACCGATTTCCAAGGTTTTGCATTCGTTGGAAAGGTCTTGGGCTCCGTGAGGTTTATAGCGAAGACAATTCAGGAAAAAAATTTTTCTTCAGCTTTAATCACCAAACGAAATGTTACATTAAACGAAGCCATCTGGGTGGCGAAACGGAGTTCGCCGGGTTTGCTAGTACCTACAGGTATAAAAATAAGATTAATTATATAGGTACAGAGACTACAGCTCTGGTCATTGAAAACTGTATGTTGTTAATGAAACTCAACAACCTTTAGCTAATCAGTGGTACTGCTTCAGTGCTGAATCGATCCATATTTTTTAACCGAATTCAAACAAAAGAGGTTCTTTGTTTGACCTATATGTATTATCTCGCTATTGGCTGAACCGATTTCGATGCGGTTTTTAGAAAAGGTGTTTGTTAAACTTCAAATGAAGGGGTTGATGTCGATTTTTTAAACGTTGTTTGGAAATGAATTATTTGGAGTATACCCGATTACTTGGCTGTCTGTACTTGCACAATTATAGGTGTTAGTAGCATTCCCAACAAACACGGTTTTAGATAAGCTCATAATTAAGTACTTTTTTTGAGGGGTTAAAATCTAAAATCACCCAATTACTTCTCCCGCCCGGGTGAGGCGAGGAGTGTCACTCTTACTGACTAAAAACCACCCCTTTCCTACTCCTGCATCTCGAGACGTAGCTCCGGCAACACGTTAAGTCCTCCGCGGCTCCGTTGGTGTTTAAGTACTTTGATTGCCACATAATATCAGCCATATCGCGCCATTTTCCTGGGTACTAGACTTCCTAAGTACGTAGACATGTGGGTGTATTTAACATCAAGATGGACATGGCTTCCATTTAGGTGGGTAAATGATGTACTTACGAAACGATGGCAAAATCAGTTTTCTACTAATCGCAATGCACTGGTAGGATATTGTCTAGTATTGTATATTTGCTTAAGCTACGGTGACCAGTTACCATCGGCAGGCTCATTGGCTCCAGCAGAAGCGTACAAGAGAGTGCACTCAGTGTAGTGCCATTTTTATCCGCCATTTGGTTAGTTTTTCCAATAATTCCAAGAGTAGGTAGTATGGCAAAGGTAATGTGGATTGTGAATAAAAAAACAAATTACGTCCTTATCATTTTATTCTCACAAGAAAAAACGTTAACGGATCTCTTAAAAATTACAATAACGAAAGAATTATCCACAGCTAACAAACGCATAGCTGCATAATACGATATATTTACAATTAAGCTCTTTGGCTTCTAAAAGAATTTACAAAAAAAAAATAAAACGTTAAAAATCTTAATAATTTTGCGAATCATGTAACGCAACATAACATAATTTAAAATTATCAATAAAATTTCAACAGAGGACTAAAATAATATAATGTTTAAAATACACTAAAATACAATGTGCCCAGAAAATTCTAATGTGATTTTATACAAATGTGTCGAATACTGCGTCGGTAAACGATTTAATTACTAAATGTACAAACAGAACTTATTTACCTCACGTAAAATTATATTGAATTCATTCCCTAGGTAAGTAACATTTACAAGACATTTAAGTAAAACGAAAGGGTAAGTAATTATTAAACTTTAGAATTAATTGTACAAAGCCCTCTTAGAGAATCGCCTAGAATCTTGTCTCACTTTTGTAGTCAAAATGTACAATCTGAACCGTAGCCTAGTTGTAATAAGTGTGATTCTTGTGTAATCGAATCTTTTGGTGATGACAATTTGGCCTTCATGATCTTGGGGCCCGGCAGGCCGTGTACCATTGCAAACAAATCATCTTCACTAACATATACTGAGTCAGACTGACATTACGAATTAATGCAGTTTGACAAAATTCGTTCATTTTTCAAGGTCAGAGAGCAACATGGGATTTTTTGTCTCAAGACCTGGACTGCACCAACATATTTAGGAAAAAGTACTATAATCGAATATTTAAACAGTAATAATGAAAAGTGATTACAAAATCGAGCACAACAACACTTAAAAGATTGGTGCAATCCAAGAATTGAAATTCGGAACATCAGTCCTTTCTCAGGCTAAAAAAACTCCAATTGTATGAAAAAAACAGAAAGCATGAACATCTAAAAACATTTCTAGAAACGCGATATTACAATGAAGTACTTTACAAATTGGAAATTATGACAATAGTCCAGGAGCTTGTGATGCATTGTAAAATATTTCAAGTGTCGAGCTCCTGGCCTATAGTCTTGAAGCGTACTACCTAAAAGTAGGCACAGAAGGATCAGTACATTTTGGTTTAAGGGAGACCTTAAGTATATCACATCGACTATTTAGCCTTTGGTATGGTGGGTAATTTACAAATGGAATGTTTTTTATCTGTGAACCTTTAACTAGAAGTAGAGAACCAGTAACATTTAAAAATGAACTTTAATTCGACATTGATAAAATCGATTCTTCAACAATATGTGGATATCTCCTTCTTTTGAAATATAATTCAGTTAAAGGCTCACAGACACACACCAAAGGCTCTAGGGTAAAGCATGAGAAATTACCACTAACTATCCTATACCCTACAAATAGCATTGAGCTGAGATCTTGCTTCTAAACGATTAGTATAACATCTATCCTATACTGTGACTTTATTGGAAACTTGGTTATAAGTACCGGCTTTGTTATCAAACTGGGCTTGATATAACTATTGGATATTGTTTAACTAATGTTGTCAACACGATAGACGCTGTGACGGGATTACTAATACCCGTTAGCACTTTTCTGTCTGTTAGGGTACTGAAAGCAGTCAAAAATAATAATGTGAGGCTTTTCTCATTATTATTTTGCCATGATAATGATTGGATACATACTAATGGATGCTGTGGACAGTTGATAATTATTTTACATTAATTATACTTTTAAAATGGTTACATCTCAATAATTTTATCAACCCAGTCCGTGTTATATTTGTTATATTTTTATAATCCTACAATTCTACAACTTGAACTACGCGTATTTTGCTGACACGCACGTAGCCTTTAAAATCCTTGCAACGACATACGACACTGCCCTCGAAAATCACATCCGCGTCCACGTCAGTTAGATCCGCGTCAGCAAAAGCCGCAAGTCAGTTTAAAACGGTACTTATTTGGTACTAAATCCTCGCCACGTAGACTAGTCCTTCTAGATATAATTACGTATGCCTGCAGCATATTGGCTATTATATTATTTCGGTATAACTATTGTATCTATAGACATACAGTTCATTATTATAGAGAAAATAATGTGTATATTTTATAGTATAATAACTTTCGTGAGACATACTAAATTAATTATTACGTTTTTCGACTAACTGTTGCCTCTAGTATGACTTGAAACTAGTCGAGTTCCTCGTCAATCGGTTACGGAAGTAAACCGAAAAACATAATAATGTATGTGTATATTTTTTTTTAGTATAGACAGCTTTGCAATAATAATTGAAAATGAATAACTATGTGAAAATCACTGAAGTAGAAGAAGATAATTCGTGTGTACATTTAATTTTATTCTACTACATTAATTTGAAAATGAAGGGATCCTAAAATGCAAATTGGTACCTACTCTACGCCACTAGAAAAAAATATTGTATTAAAAAATTTGAACTATTAACACCGGATATGTTAAACTGTAATACGTAATGAAATAAATATTTTAATTTGGCTTAAAATACTTATTAGCAAGCTTAAGTTATTTAGAACTCTATGACATCAATCACAGGAATTATTTTCGTTCATTCTTTTTGAGTTCCTGCAACTGAATACGACTTTTCGAGCTGCCAATAAGTATTTTAAGCCGTAAAAATACGAAATTTGAATTACGCTAACAATTTTTCTAATTTAATTAACTTTTTTAAATTGACAGACACGTAATTTTTTAACTAATTTCGAGAAAAATCTTTTAAATATTATTTAATCTATGTATGAATCGGAGATTACGTCAAATGTACCGTCAGTCGTGTGTAATATGTATACATTTTACATATTAATACACTACATGTATTATACAAAAAAATATGCGAGATGCAGTTTTGTAAGATCTTATACGACATCGTATTTAGATATTGTTAACCGGTGCATTTAAGGGATAATCTTATCATATAATATGCAGAAAGGTTGACGTTATCTTAATTAAAAACAAGTCACTGGGTTGCATTATTAAGATACAATCTTTCCAAATACTAAAACATGATCACAATTTAATAAATTAACAAAAACTATCTAACAAAACTGCACCACACACGGAATTGAGTATAAATATACCATAACGGTAACAACGTTCAGTCACAATATCAACATTAATTTATTCAAAACCGACAATTAGATAGAAAAACCTTTACACTACACTGCCGCACTTACCATTCGTTAGCGATAAGTTGGGGCCCAAAGATGGCCGCCCTAGAGTATTGTGCGCGAAGCTGGCAACACTGCCGTTGTGGTCGTAGCCGTTCATGTATTGGTTGTTCTGTAAACCAATCAGGAGCTCCACCAGGGCTTTGCTCGCACTCTGAGCGTTGAGTAGCTCGAAGATGATGCAGTTGCATTCCGGTTCGGGGTTCTTTAGAGAGCTCTTGGTGCTGGAGTTGGAGCTGGTGGAGTTGGTGGCGGAGCTGGGGGTGGAGGAGTGGGGAGGGCCGGGGTGCAGCGGGCAGGCGAGCTGTAGGTTGGTGGGGTACTGGGGGGGGATGCCCGACAGGTGGTTGGCGGCGGCGCGCGCGTAGAACACGCACGTGTGGCCGTCCGCGTCCGGGTAGTTCGGGTTGCCGTTGTGCTGCGGGGGGACGTACGCGTTGTAGTATGTGTGTGTTATACATTGAACATAGAAATGGGCCATATTACTTATTGTTTCAGAATGCTGATTAAGAATTTGACTGCCAATAAAAACTATTGAAGGTAAATCCTCCGCTAACGCAGGTCATCGGTGACCCCCATGGCGTTTAACGTGTTAAGTACTAATAAATAAAGTTCAATCATATTGTTACAGGTTAAAAATGTGCAAATCATTTGAGAAAACAAAAACAAATATCAAGTGTTAGGCGGTTTCGACTAGAAGAAAAAACATTAAGTACAATGTTTTTTTTTACATTAAAAGCACATTGCCTTTTTTCTATTTAGTTTTCAGCATGTCTAAATCAGTTATTATATTTCACCATGAACACACGACACAAACAGTCAACTTAACAAAAGACATGTATTAAGTAAATAATATATGTATTATGTATTAAGTATTCGTGTGGTTCTATGTTACAATTTTTCTACTAAATCTGTGTAATGTAGCTGTTGATTCCCCATTGAATAAATAAATAAACACGTACCCATATGAGCAGTTGCGCGGCGGCGAGATGTCCGGCGGCGGCGGCGGCGCGCAGCGCGAGCGCGCGGTCGTGCGGGGCGGGGGCGCGCGCGCCGGGCACGGCCAGCGCGCGCGCCAGCGCGGCGACCCCGCCCCGCGCGCCCGCAGTACGCAGCGCCTCCACGCCCGTCGCCACCACCTCCGAGCTCAGGAACGCTCGTCGCTCGTATTTTAGTCTTATCCACCTGGAATGTCAGTAGTCCGATGTTAAATACTTATTCAATATGTCTACTGCTGCCTGTAAGCTAAATGGCATTTAAGTAATGGTCGACCAGAAAATAGCAAGCTTAATGTGTAGCACAACATGTCCTAAATATCTATCAATATCATAATTGTGTTATGTTTCTTATTCCCTCGGTCGACGAGCAATCAACTGTCAATTAGGTCATAATACTAAGAAAATACAAGCACATTACCGAACTTAAACTTCTTTTACCGGAGTTTTGCAAACACTCTACTAATTAAACAACAATAGTCATAAATGCAATAAAAATGTAATTAAAGTATCCATAACAATATTTACCTTTCTTTCTCTTCTCGACTAGATGTAGCCATGGGTTTGACATGGCCTCTGAAATCAGCCTCCCATATTGAATTCGCGAGATCGTTGCCCAAAGACACCATTACACTCACGTGGCTCAATCTGAAATTAAATAGAAAAAAGGATAAATACAAATGATGTTTATAAGTCAAATGTAACTTCATCTAATTATATAGGAGCTGCGTTGTTTTTCTTTCACAGAGATTCTCGTTCTTCAAACTTCAAAAAGAGATCACGAGCGATACCACACCCAAATAACCACCTCATAATAACCATAAGTGCTCTAATTATTTTTAATAACTAAAACTTATTTCCCCATTTTATAGCAAAAATGGAAAATAAATCGCTACAACAAACAATAAAGTAAAATATATCTTCAAAATTCATGATTACATGTTTAGTGAACCCCATAGGAAAGTTTTTTGATCGCCTAAACCTGCAAAAAACTACAACGCATCTTCCTGTGCGAGTTTTCATGATAATTTGCGTTATGTTTAACTATCGTCTGTTCCATTAAGCTCCCCGTTAAACCTAATACCCAAAACGGTTTTTTGAGGGGGAAAATCATCGAATAACTTATCCCGCCTGGGCGAGGCGGGAGGGACTAAATACCACCCTGTTCCTACTCCTGCACTTGGAGCCGGAGCCCCGGACACCCGTTAAGTTCTCCGCGGCTCCGTACCAATAAATACCCAATAAACCCAATAAAAAAATAACCAAAATGGTTATAAATAATAATAAACAGGTACTCACGGCCACTCATCAAGGTCGAGGGATCGTACCCGCGATATATGCGAGCCGAGGTTCCTGTGTATGCCGGAGCACTCGATGCAGATCAACACGCCTAGGTTCAGGCTCGCCCAGTCTGGGTCTGGAAATGAAATAAATATGTTTATTAAGACAACTTTTAGTTTATTATTTGACGTATGTATAATTACATTTAACTACCATAAACAGAAACATAATTATAATTATAATATTAAGTAACAAAATTACAAGTTTGTAAAAGACATACATATTTTTAAACTATGTATTTCGTGTTTCATTTGTCAAGTAGCCGCCAGTGCAACTGTCAACTGAGAGTATTACCAGCGAGGATTGTTGAACTTTTATGTTAAAAAAGATCTTGATAACTACACGGAGTCTGGTATTGTAATTTAAAACTGACTAAAAGTAAATGTTACACCCCTAATTGCACTACTGCTCCTCTGCTTACTACTGTTTAAAAACCACGCCTTTAAGTATACGTTTCTTAAAGGTAATCTTTAACATTTCAATACAAACATCGAATAAAATAAAAACAGCATGCAATAAAACCTTATTTATCGCTTTGATATCAAATCTATCAATAGTATTTAGAAAGTTTAACAACCTCATTACCAAAACGGGTATGAACTTGACATTCCGCGACAAAGGTCAGGAGTTCGATACCCGAACCTGAACAAATACGTGATACAAAATCTTTGCTAAAACCTGCGTCAAATATTTGAACAAACTATGCATTATGCATATTCAATTTATAAATTGTCATAACTTTTTAAATCTTTGAAATTTTTGAAATGACCAATGTCATAGCTGATGAAGTTTATCTCAATTCGGGATTTAACGCGGTAGCCTATTCCGTGGCAATTAAGGCTTGTCATGGCTACCAAATATTTTCAGCAACACAATATTTCCTGCTAGTAACTGTCTGTCTAGGTGACTACTAGAGATCAAACTCAGTTTCCTGTGTTTTTACATAACATAACATCACGCCTTTTATCCCGAAGGGGTAGGCAGAGGTGCACATTATGCTACTGTACAATATAACACCCACTTTTCACTATTTATGTTATAAGTCCCATGTAATAGGGGGTGAGCCTATTGCCATATACCGGGCACAATTCCAGACTCCGTGCTACTACTGAGATTTTTTTAAAAACCCGAGACCCCTTGCCCGGCAGTCGCACTTGAGACCACTCGGCCAACGAGGCAGTCAGAGCAGTGTTTTAATAATTTTAAAATATTTTTATGACGTTACAGATAATACATACCAGCGGCCCCGCAGTCGCAGCACTTGTCGTTTCCGTGGACGCGGCGGATGTAGTACGTGGCGCGCACGTCGCCCGTCGAGTTGGCGCCCGTCGGCATCGGCTGCCGGGACGTCTGGGGACCGAACGAGGTAACTTAGATCTTGTTATAGTGAAACAATAGTATAATTTTTAAATGCATTTTAGGTAGAGTTATACGGATTCATTCATAGAGTATTTCAAGAGCTAAATTACGAGATCAATCATAAGAATACAGGATATAAGAACAACTATACAATTTTTTATTTTTTTAAATACAAATTTTTTAAACAAAAAAAATTGGGAAATGGACAATTTTAAAATTGAAGTATTTTATAATATACATTTTGAACGTCTTTACTATCTAGAGATGGAACCGTTTTTAATTTTATACATATTACTGGTCACATTTTTGGAACAGGGGACATTTTTGGAATTTCGACATTCGTAATTAAGTCACTATTTGCTTTAACTAAGTAAGTATTCATTAGACGCATACTAGTTGGGATTGCTGATTGATTTTAATCTGTGAAATTCTCTATAAGATAAAAACAAGAGCCTACAGTAATGAATACTATTTTTATAAGATGTATATGGACTCACCCGTCCCTGCAGCGAGGCGAGTATCTGTGCCTCGACGGCGGCGACCCAGGCGTCCCGCTCGGCGGCGGCCGCCGCGCCCGCGGCCGCGCCCGTCACCTCCCACCGCCATCGCTTCCCGTCCAGGCTTACTATCGTAAACTCACACGATGTCGCGTATTCACCCTCTGGAAGAAGATATTATGTTGTATTAGTTGCAATAAAGAAAAATATCAACAACTTTTATTCAAGAGCCTAAATTGGGAATACTTCTATCTACGAGCGAGCACGCATTCTATGCCATTATATCGTCTCTGTTTAACCTACTGAGAGATAGACTTCAGGCCTGATGATAAGTAAGGTAATCTTTACCTTTGTATCTCATTGTTAAAGAATGCCTAAAATACAAATAACGCTGAACACATTAAAAATATCTTTAAAAAACAATAAATATTCCTCAACAACTACGCCTTCACTAACTATTGTAGGTAATAGGCAAAATAAATGTATCTGTGCATAGTCAATAAACGAGTCCTAATAAATTATAGCATGAATATTGTATCACCAGCGTTTTAGGTAAACAAATAAAAAATATTTCATAACATGTTTGTTTACTTTTACAAATGAGATCTGCCTATGAATGCTCTACTAAAGACATTATGCGTTAATTCCTGAATTACTTGTAGTATACATACTGACATACTAGAATGATTTCCTTATTATAGAAGTACATGGGACGGTTAGTTCTCCTTATTATTAACTCGTTAACGTTTCTAAACCCAAATAAGTTATTCCCGTAGTTATATTAGATACCACATATTCTAAAACAAATGTCGTCGGCCACATCATCACTTACCCCCAGGCGAGATGGTGGCCAATCGTCGATATATCAAGTAAAAAAATCTTGTTATTATGTTGATACATTTTGTTAAACGAATCATTTTGAAGTTACTTTATAAAATCGAGCTAAGCCAAGTTTATACAAAAGAATAATATAGACGCAACATACCCTCATCCCCATCCTTCTTAACGCCACTGCTCTTCATCCGGCGATGCCTCTTCTTGACATGTGGCGTGTCCTTGTCCTGTCCGTTAGTGGAGCCGACTTCTACCTCAGATGCAAGCGACTGTCGACTCGTCGCGGGCTCCTTCATCGTGTCGAACGCAGACATTAGGGCTTTGTCTGTCGCCCGGGTTGGTTTGTCTTTGTAGCCTGGAAAAAGGAATTTATTTGTTAGTAAATAATTTTTTTACATTGTACAGTGGCATTAAGTGCCGAAATGTGCACCTCTGCCTACCCCTTCAGGGATTAAAGAGCCATGATGTTATGTTATCTATATAAATAAAAATGAATTGCCGTTCGTTAGTCCCGCTAAAACTTGAAAACGGCTGAACCGATTTGGCTAATTTTGGTATTCAAATGTTCGTGGAAGTCCAGGGAAGGTTTAAACGGTGAGAACAAAAAATTGTAGGCAGTACGAAGTTTGCCGGGTCAGCTAGTGTTAAATAATTTTGAGGCCTGTGTTCAGCAGTGGAGTTGTACAAGGCGAAAGAAAGGACAGTTTTGCGGAACAGAACAGAATAATTACACAGGAGACATTATTCATAATATCCTAACTAACGACAGCGAATAACAGACAACTCTATTCACAGTTACTATTAGGTTCAAATTATAAAAATAATTATAAACTCACCGATGGACAGTCCCCCAATACTGTCATGTATATCGAGACTGCTGTATCCATTGTAGCCCGGCACGGTGGTGATAATGGACTTGGAGCCCCTCGGCTTCTGACCAGGCACCTTCACAGTCACGTACTGTAACGATATCTCCTTGCCGTTCACATCTTCCATGTAGTCCTGGAAAAATAAAATTATTTATTAGATAAAATTAATTTAAACATGGCAGGCACTTTGCCGCCTACAAAGAAATCACTTAACTTGAGTTTTATCTAATATTCAAATTCAATTGCAAAGTAAATATTGAAATGCTAACTCGAACAATTACATTGAAACTCACATGTAAGCTCGGGTGGTAAGTCAACCTGCCATCATCGCAGAGCGTCACATATTTCTTCTTCCACTCCTTATTCAGAGCCTTACTGCTCTTCTTGTACAGATATCCTTGCTTCAGAGGAATCGCTCTACCAGAGCCAAGCTCTCCATTCTTCAACCTATCATCTCCCTTTTTGGAAGGAGTAAAGAGATTCGATCTCCTTCGAGATTTCCTCGACGTTGTAGGAGTAGAAGATGGAGTGGGTAAATCCTTAGAATCCTTAGGAGGTTGAAGGTTATCAAGGCAGTGTGGAGCGGTGAACTTCACGTTGTTATTCTCCGTTGCTATGGAAACGAGGCCTGATGAGGAGCCATGGCTGCCGAGGGAGTTGCCCCACCGTGAGGAGGTGTCGGATCCATTCGTGCTGTGGATTTCGACGACGTGCGTTGAAGAGATACCGCTGCTGTTTGATGAGGCGTCGAAAGATTGGGCGCCTCGATGCAGGTGGTGGGACGACGCTGATAGGGTGTGATGGCCGCGTGGTAGGGAGTCCTGGAACGAAAGAAAATTGGGTTATTAATTTCCTTATAAAAATATTGTATTCCTTGAAAAATTTTTCAGTCCAAATAGTTACGCCTACATTTTCGCATTCTTATATCATACAAAATGTATGTCAAGTAATACTAAACTTATCAACAAGCCTTTAACGTAAACTGAGTAACAAAGTGTAGGTTGATAACACCATTTATTCAATGGCAAAATAATAATCTTACGACAGATATGGTAATCAATTACTGAGTCAGACACGTCCAAATCTAAAGGCGTTATTAAACACTCGATGAAACAATCGAAATTAAGGCCTTTAATAGTGTGAATGACCGTGACCTATACAATGCATCTTGATTAAAATTGTTTTGCCTGTGGCTTTGTTCGGGAACGTTTTTCTCGAACGTGTAAATTTTATATAGTGAGGTGTTTCTATTGAGTAAGAAAAGGGATAACAGACGAAAATTGAATCATGCAAGTAACAAAATCCTAACCAATGGCTCTGTTTGGGCCCGAAAATGTTCGAGGAAGTCCGTAAAAGGTCAAGGAAGTCCAAATACATTCACAATTACCTACCAAAATGACATCAAATAAATAAATGCTTACATCTGGACAACCGGAACATCTTAATTAATTACCAAACATTTTTACACACATAATAAGATGCACATTTACAATGCAATCTATGAATCACACAGACGCAGTAGCAACTATGACGTAACAGTAACAAATATAGGACAATGGGTTATTGTTGACCTATTTTGGGCAGTGAACATCATTGAGATCCTTCAATGTATTGGGATCGATTCAATTACATTGCATTGTATCTGATTTTAATTTTAAGCGGATGCGGAGCTATGTTATGCTAAAAGGTTACTGTTGTTGCATGCGTTGCATATTTGTATGCAGCTTTGCTTATTTTTTTACGTAGTTTCAGGAACTAAGATAAATCGATTCAACTGTAGGTGTATTTTGAAACATTTCGGATAAAGTGTAGAAATAAGTAAATCAAATATCTTTTGGAATAAGACTTTTAAAACACATAAGGACTTGTCTATAGCACAAAGTATTCTTTTATTTGAAGTGTATTTAGTATAATGGTGTCCATGTCCATTATCTTTGTTTTTTAAACAATAGGCCATGAGATAAGTAGGCGCCTACCTATAATTGGGTCTGTTATTTATAAATATTAGATCTGAAGGGCAGCTAAGAACACGGAAATAAAGCATTATTAGATATTATATGTGAATGACGATACATAGATATAGGTGTTGTCTGTTTTCTAATGATACTATTTTCTATCAACGTCTTTCAACAAATAAAATAAGTAGGTATTATCTACACAAATGATGTGGGTGTTACATTGTACAGTGGCATTAAGTGCCGTAATGTGCCTTCCCCTTCGGGGATAAAAGGTGTGATGTTATGTTATCTTCACAGATGTTTAGTCACAGTGTAACCGTAGATAGCATAAAAGATAAAAACATTCCAAAAACTTAAGATTTACATGTTCAAAACAAGATTTGTAACTACCTATATTCCTTCATTGGCCTTGAATCTTTTAAGAAGGCCTGGTTCACCAAATGACAATTAATTATTTGTTCATAAATTCCATCTTATCAATTTTATTTGATTTATAAGGCCACAAATTTTAAGACACATCTTAATAGATAATAAATTACTTATACATAAATAGTTATTCTTTAAAAAAAATGTATTAAAAAACGAATAAACAGACAAGAAAACTGCATTCATCTAAAGGGAAACACATTTAAATAGCAAAGATTGTATTCAACTATAAAAAAATATTATATTAAGTACAAGTAAAATATAAAAAATAAAAAGAGTTTATTTAAAAAGCATAATATATATTTTTAAACAACTTTTTGAACCTAACTTGTTTTGTATGCAACTGTACCTACGTACCTACTTATTTTATAATAGGTAGGTAAGTCATTTTGTATAATTTGTAAAAAAAATATACTTCAACACATTGAGATAGACCTATACCTTTATACATACTTCAACATATTTAAACTACCTAGATTAGCACGACATTTCCCAACCAGGTATGAGAAGAAACACCCAAACAAACTCAGAGACCATAGTCAGAGATAATAAACATCGACCGACAGGATTTGTCTACATAAGAAATACCCACGGTGTTAACCTAGCAAGCGCTTACATATAGGTACCACATCAGCATACGTAAGAAAAAAATAGCTAGCAAACTATATACTGCGCACATCGTCAGAACAGCACCAATTCATACAAACCAGTTCTTTTTAAACATGCAAAATCAATATTTTATCAGATTACGTATGAATATACAACCTACTTAAAAAATGACTTGACAAATATGTTTTAGCAAAAATAATACTAAAAACGAATAGATTATTGAAGATTACGTGTGTTAGAGGAAATTGGGGGCTTTCACTCTTGGCCCGAAGTGGTACAGTCACCTACATAATTATTGTTACGCAATGAGATTACACTGATATCATGTGATTAGATAGATATTATCATAATTGTAATGAGCATCGTCTTAGTAACTATGAGTTTCTGTTGTCGAGCTATTTCTTGATATTAGTAAAGGATAAAATAAATGAGTAATATGCATGTAGTATTCTAGTTATTATGATTATACTTTATTGGTACAAGTTTACTTCTGTTAGTACTTAGTACCTAACTATGTATTTTTTAACTGGAACATTATTATTTAAGTGTCTTACTTAAATTCCAGGTAAAAATCGCATTGTTTTCTATTACATATTCATTGCATTATGTGCTACACTATGTATAAAAAAAGTGATATTAAATAGATAGTGATATTGTTTTTTTTATATTTGATGGGCCGACGTTTGAGTAGTGGTAAGCGATGATGCGGTCTACGATGGAGTACGTCGTCCCATAAGCAACCTATTCACTCGGCCCTTGAAGACTACTGGTTTAACTATTACAGAAAAAAACAATTTATCTGTTACTTTTTTCCTTAGGTGATTTATTTAGGTAAGCACTGTACTAATTGCTTTTTTATTTTTATATCCAAGTAATCAGGATGACTAATTTTATAACAGAGATGTTTTTTTGGGAATTCCGAAGAAAGACGTATTCTATTTAGGTATCTATTGATAATATTATCAGGGAATTATCATAACGATTATAGTTTTCATGGACAATCATTATATAAAAGTATGAATATTGATAAATGCTAATACCTAATAAACAGTTGATACATAATTAGGAAAACTTGGTTGGAACGAGCAGAGCTATACAAGACTGAGGTTGGGCAGCAAAATGCAAAACGACATAGAATTGTCAGTAAGTCCTTTTGGGGGAGGTAAACTTTATAAGTAAAGGGGAAATTTAAAAGTAAGAGTTCTAAAAATAGGGTCGGGCAGCAAAATGCTCAAGTACATATAAGGAACCTCGGTAACTGAGACCTTTTAGGAAAGGAGAAACGCCACTCTTAGAGGGAGATCCAAAAAACACTTACAAATCTGTACATGTTGACCTTTTTAGTTGTTGTAGTAGAAGTAGAAGGCATAATATGAGTTTCCTAAAACAATAACAAATAAAACAACATCTCAGTAAATGAACTTTGCAGATTATGTTACAATTTATAAAGTTCCTTTCTTTCCTTTGTTATCACGATGGAGTCTCTTACTATATTACTATACAATGGATAAACAAAACACATTAGCTGTTATATTACTCAATAAAAACAAAATAGAACACTTGCTAAGGATCACACAATAATGCATTCTCTTTGTTATCCTACCGTCCGACTTACACCGACCTAAAATAGGAACAGCACTCAATGTCATAAGTACTGGATTATGATAAGATATTACTCCAGTAATAAACATATAGTACATGAACATCCACCTCCATTATATATAGTTGTCATTCAGATTATCGAGATAGCACTAATGATAATAACCGCTGATAATTAGGTACTTTCAGTCTAAAAAAAGGTTTTATCTTTTCCAAATTAATGGACTATGAAAAACATAGTACTCTTTACACATACACTTCTGCTCAAAACATAAGAATGAAGTTCTAGAAAGTACTTAACAGCTTTGTACTCAAATGGATATAGATCCAACATGGTCATATTATATCATATGGCACTCACTTTTATTTAAGCTATAAATTCCACAAATATGTTACAGAGAGAGAGAGTCAATGCTCAGTCAATAGTGCAATCTTTTAACATTTATATCTTGAGTTTGCTTGAAATATGTATGTGCTAAAAAGTCTTTTGCCCTCTCCCACCATATTTCTACCTAATTTCATTACTGGTTTAATTCTAAAATGTATGGCCTTACATTGTGATCAGCCACTAAGGGGGTGGGCAACCAACTAGTATACTCAAATAGACTATTATGCATCAGGATTATGGCACATTACTTCTTAAAATTAAGGTTCTTTTTGCAGCAGTGATTGATGGTGATGAGAAATAAGTCGTACAGCCTTTACTATAGAATGACACTGATGATAAAGAGTAACAAATAGGTACATAGTTCTAAATAATGCTTAAAGTTAAGTAGTACATAATCACTTCACAAAAATCCGGCATTTGGACTGCCAGTAGAGCATATAATTAAAGTTTTAAGTGGAACTAATGAGCCATGAATATAATTGTCTAAGTATCAAATTGCTGTAAATAGAACTACAACCATTGTTATATAGATTTATGAAAGTTTATGATAAGTGGATGTGAATTTCAGTGTTCCTCTTTTTTAAATCTTTAAAGACTGATAAGGTGTAGTACTTGAAACATGGATTGTTCGAATTACTGTTATATTATCGAAAACTATAATACCTATATCTCTAATTGATTAGTAGTTATGTAGATTAAACAACTATATTGATAAACAAATCAAAACATTATATCAATAAGCTGTAGTTTATAAAGTGACAAACATTAAAACATATTTTTAATCACAAAACTAATAAAAAATCATACAGCCTTTTACAGGACTTGAGCAAACCAATGTTGATCTTAGTCAGCGAATGATTCTTAATAAAATTTGAATAAAAATATGGTATTAAGCACCATAAAACAATAATTGCTGTCTCATATTCCTTATGACTCTAATATTAAATTGTCCATGAGATCCATGACTCAACAGAGGACAGTAATTTCATTGATTAAAGGAATCATAACTTAGATATAGAATTCTTGTGCAATAAAGGACACAAAGAAAGGAAAATATACACTTTTCCTTACAAATCTTATGTTTGCAACCTATGTTTTGCAATGATATTAAAAAGTTATCAGTTTTATTTGTAATCTGTCATTTAATAAGAATTATGATAAGATTTCCGTGAATCATTGTTTATGGTGTTGAACTGCTTTTTTATACTTATTATATTTATAATTTATCTTTGTAATAGAATTGTGACACGAGGTTTTGTGTTCTGTTACAAAATAAACTAGGTAGTTAGAACAGAAATTATGCCTCATGTTACAATTTGAATTCACCAAGAATATGTATTAACTTACATCTTTCATCTACTTTAAATGCTAAATTATTTAAATATTTTAATTAGGTACTACTTAAAAACACATTGTTTTTATGTGTACCAAACATTTCTCATGGGGCCTATTTAGATTCTAGGTATTTACTTTTATGAAAGTGATTTAAAAGATTTACCTATTTTTATATTTCTACAATTTCATGTAATTTATTAGAGAAAAAACTAACAGAAATTCAAATACCTTTAATATTGTAAATACAAATTCTGTCCCTGCTGTTATTAAATTGCTGTTATTAGATGCCACATGTTATGTTCAAAGAAAAAATAAACTTGTTGTTTTTTTTTTAATTTGTCATTGAGACACAGGCATGTGTTCTAAAGTGTAACACATTGTGTAGTTCATGGCCTCTATGGTCTGATGTTATTAAATTCTATCATTGTACTTAATTGTAAAGCATGTAGGAACTTGTTAGTACAGTATAGTTATAACTGATGTTATATTATCAGTTGTGATAAAATTATAAACAATAATAGTATCATATTGTGTAATATCCTTTTGAGAAAAGAATAATAGAAAGTAACATGTGCAAGTTTCACTTAAGTCCTAACTATAAATAGATGGCACATTTACTAACTCAGTAGGCAGGCTTAAACTATTTTTATTTGTATTTTGGGTGTTTATTTATGGAAACAAGTTTTTAAGCAGTTTTGTGCAATAAAAAGTTTGTAAGATGTCGATATCGTGACTGCAACCAAGTTATTCTAAACACAGTTGAACACTAGGAAGTAATAGTAAAACAATTACATACCTTGTACAGGAATGTTGAATGGTTGTGGCTTGGCGAATTCACTAACGGCTGTGGAGTCACAGGCCTGGAACCTCCAGACAAGCATTGCGACGAGGCGGACAATCTAGTGCCCACAATCTTCTGACATGCTGCAAAACAAAACAATCACTCATTTATTCACCACCACACTAAAAACTTTCACAATTCCGATATCCAAAAATCACGACAACTAGATCTAAACGGTTTATCGAACAATAACATTTCACGCACATTCAAATTTAGACGATTTCCTACGATCGCGTTCCTCCGCTCTTTGTATGTTGTAGCACGAACTCCGACGCCTCAAACTCGATATAGGCGACATGTTAGACTTAAAAATGAGTGTTCTCTCCATCCTTCCATTCAGGATAAAATAGAAAACAAACGCAATAATCACACAAACGACGCTTGAAAAACGTCAAAAAAATGTAAACAATGCAATGTCGCGGCAACGAACGAACGAAAACGAACTAAACGACCGCGCGGCTGGAGGCCGGTGTTGCCACTGCCTGCGCTACAACACCCCGCAAGCGAAACGAGATCCACAGACTAGTTAATAAGTGCGCTTGTAGTCTCATCACATCGTAGCATCACGCGAGACGGTACAACTAAAAAATGTCTATTATGTAATTTTATAACTCTCTATCAGTCTCGATCAATAAATAACAGATACGATTGATATAATTAACGGACATCGACAGAATTCTTCTCCTATGTGGAGCAAACAGATAACTACCAGATAAGTAGATTAATATCAAATTGATAAAAATTTCACGTGTAGATAAATCGGCCAAACATTTTATGACACATATACCTGAAATAAATATGTATACAACCAATAATAATTATTCTAGTAGGTACACATAATAACCGTTATTGTTTCAAAAGTACCCGTATCTACATTGTTATTCTAGATATCGAATAACTTATTAAGTAATATCGGTAAGAAAGCAAAAACTACATATTATTATCCGCTTTAAATTTTTAATCTTAGAGAACAGGATTTAGTGCCTCATCGAACACTATGTTTAATTTATAAGTAAACACCTGATAGAACATAGATACCTTTACATTAGCAAAAACAAATTCTATCAAAGCCAATAACAATTCTGTTATGTAAATTAACAACGGTAGAAACATTCCAAAAACAGTGTTGTAGAAAAAACCGCGTAAGCTGACATCATCCGGCATAAATATACGATGTTCGTTTAAAATCGTTACACTTACCGTCTTGGAAGACTCGTTCCACGTTCAGACCGTACGTAGCACAAGTTTCATAGTAAGAACATCTTCGTAGCTCATTCGATAACTTGCGAGCACGATTGTCGTCTACCACGCGTGGACTACTTTCACTTATGGCATCTGGAAGAGCAACCAATCATTGATTTAACAGGAAATAGAGTATCGGACGTGTGTACGTAATTATGTTAATCAAGTATGTAACATTTTTCTTTGATTGGTAAACAAATTACAATTTGAGTGATTTATTTACGTTAACACACAGATCATGGTTGCGATAAGAGTGCCAGTAGGGTATATGAACTTGCTGAGCACAAAAAATGAAGTAAATGTTTCAGTTTCTTTTTATAACCTACTAAATTCCTTTAAATCCAAAACGACGACTGCCAATTTACAAAGAAAACTATATGTATTACTTATCATTAAGAAACATAACGTCACTAATACTGCAGATTAATTTAATGGAATTGTGTGATAAGATAATGACGACAGTGCAATATATATATAAAAAAGGTGAAAAAATTAATAAACTCACCTTGGGTTCCGACCAATATGATCGGAATCTCAGCGGAATTCCTATAATGGGACATTTTATTGAAGTAGTTCGACACCGTATTATAGCTGATCTCGTTGTCCAAGCTGAACACGAAGATTACAGCGTCCACCCAAGCCGTAAACTGCAATAAACAGATAAACGTATTAAAAATATTACCCTGATAAAGATATAAAAGATTAAAACCTTTTTCCTAGAGGTATAATCTGATTTAGATGATTAATAGGAAACTTCAGGTGATGTTTTCTTTAAAGGAAAACAAATTCCAAAAGATTACTCAATGTTATGTTTATTACTTTATGAACTGAGTGATCCGATCATGGATTTATGAATATAAATATCCCCGCCTCGAGTCCCTTACGAGACCTTGGTTTGTTCGTGAAAATCAATAATAGGTATATTGTAATTATGAGACGTCGAGACGGACATAATTATGCTTTTCTCGTTTTCAAAAGGCTGTTTCTAAAAGTGTATAGGACATTTCACGTGAAATAATTGCTTTATAACTCCACCAAAATGCCACTAGGCAGTAAGTCCGCCATTGTATATATACAAAAAGTGTAAATAAATAAATAAAAAATCGCACATATGGCAAGCACGATAAACTACATTTCAGTAACATAATATTCTTACGTCAAATTCTTATTTGACGTAAGTACCCTAAAGTAAACCTATTGCGAAATATCTTATAGAGAAAAAACTGCGCCCTACACGGAGTCCCATAATAATTACGTGGGGTAATTTCGAGCAGTCGTAGGGGTTTAAAACGGAAGGGTTATGTGATACTTGCGTCTACAATGTAATGCATGTGGTATGGACAAGGTAATTGTATAATATTACGGCATTGTTGCTTATAATTGAAAACGTGTGTAGCAAAGGTTTTATATACTTTCTAATGATTTAATAAGTATGAATGACAAATGACAGTTTGCAGTACGTAATGTTTATCAATTTACGTTTACTATGTTACTGTAGTTAGTTGACTTTTTAACATGTTGCATACTTTATTAGGTATTTTACAAATTAGCAAGAAAGTAACTTAACTTTCTATAAACACCTATTAGTATGTAACTGTGACGCGAGTGTTTGCCTTATTTACATAATTTTCACAAACCATTGAAATGAAAAAGATGTCACTATCATCATGTACATTAGACAGCACAAAGTGTATGACTAACTCAGCTTCCACTTGAATGAAGATGCGTGCGTGGGAGGGTGTCACCCCTTTCCTCTGAACAACAATCGACGGCTGAGGAGCGTCATCCGGCGGCAGAGTGCGTGACGATGACACGAGAGGAAAAACCTTGGAAAAACTACTCTTACTTCCCTCACAGAACAAATTCTTTTGTCTCACGGAAACCTATTATGTATAGTTTAAAAATACAGAACTAAACTAAACGCTACAGATCCATTGTTATTCCAGGACGAGACTAAAATAGCATTTTCCCAGAGCAAGATAGTCGACTTTATTGACTTTATAATATTTTAACGCTGAATAAAACATTAAACTATTACCAAATCAGTAAATATTCATCGATAATATAATAAATTAAAATTTATAAATAAACATGGGAATAATTAATCGGTATTTCAACTGGTAGTATCAAAGTATCCGGGATGGATACTTAAATCGGAAAAACACTCTAATCGCAGCCGGATTGAAAGATAAGTCTATTTATACTAAAGGCAAAACTAATAAAGGATTACGAAGAGATTGCATGTCATAATAAAATCATAACCGTGAAATTTTGAAGCGAAGGTTGTTGCGCCTGACCCACAATATACGTATATGAAATACTTTAAACGAAGTGTGAAATGATATGCCTGATGACATAAATTCGACACATTATACACTATTACGTATGAGATATCGTTTCACAGACACAAAAGCTTTATTTGAACAGTTAAAATATATACACACAAAAATATAGATAGCAAACTTTCATTATATAGACGACAAAACCAGGTTTTACAATAAAACAGTACGTGTTCAGCAATATTAAATTTTATAAGGATTTTACATGAGTGTAGGTATCCCACACTTATAATATTCCAGTTACTAAAAATATAATTTACAGAACATCGTGCTAAAATTAAACTTAGTTCAATTATAAAACTTACCGATCCATAAGTGGTCTATCCAGGCGTATCACAGTAAATATTTCACCATATTTTTTTTAATTTATAATATAGCCAGTATAGTGCATTGGCATTAAAAGCGAATTGTTCGATTAAAGCGTCGCGGTGTATCCAGGGCGGCACTCTGGTAGCGACTGGGCGGGCGGGCGGCTCCATGCTTGGGCGGCGAAGCCTTCGTTTATTTCTATTTCCCTCCCTCACCCTATCCACTCGTTACAAAAAGAGACAGAAATATAGAGTGCAACTTCAATGCAACCACTGCAAGCCTTTATTCCTGGCGTCCAATATGAGGATTACCATTACAGCTGTAATTGAAACAATATCCAAGTACGAATATTGTTAACGAATGATACTCAGTATTTTATTTCCAAGATGTGTTAGGGAATACCATTGTTTAAGACGTAATATGGTATTATAAACAAACTCGGAAGCGTTGACATCAATCACTCTAACACACGGCATCGATTGTATTATTAACTCGTCGAGTACCGGTTTTATAGACACAATTAAAAAACAATAGGTCGCGGTCACCGGTGACCGCTTGGTGTTTGACAGTTTAATACTTGAATATAATATTTGCATTTAAATACTACATGCTTCCTACAACTAACTAAATGACTTTACGTTGACACAATTAAGCCAAAAATCAAAATGTTACAAAATGACTTTCAAACAGAATGAATTATAAAGGCCATTACTAACAGATTAACCGCACTATAATACCCTTACAGTCCAATGTAATAGAAATTTCTTGGCAAAGGACTCTAGGGTTGTGGGTGAATGTACAGTTGTTAGGACCAACTTTCTAGACCTTGAGCCTCAGACGGTCTAAGTTCAAGCCGTGTCGGTTGAGTACCCCTGATGCAAGGTCAGCCGGTGACAAAAATGGATTAAAATCATTATTTCGCGAAGTAAACTAAAGACGCGTAATAAAAAGGTTTCATTTTTGTGACTTTCGCTAGAACTATGATATAAGTATCCACAGTAAAATTACATGCTATGTAAAAACTACACTCATTATCTAGTATGCACTTTCATCTTCTATCACCGCCGTGGGCATGGGGAAGCGAAACTACTAGGAAGTAATCGAACGCAACTCGATTCTACTGGAACTTATGCGTGCAGTGACCGTTGGTGTCGGCACCCAGCGTCACTTGCACTGACCAGTGACGGTATCAGTTTTAAATTACCCCATAATATGGGTAGTAATTTAATTGAATATTTTCGATGTAAAATTCTGTACTTCTTAAAAACAAGATAACCGTAGTAGTAGACGACATTTTAACAATATATATGTACATATATAATATTAAGAGTCTATTTAAATCTAAGTAGGGTAAATGGCACTTTTTACACTAAAAAGAAATTTCAAACAACAAAAAGACATTAAGAAAGCGACGACAGGAAGTAGCTAGTGTCGGGTGCGACATTATAGTTATTAGAACATTTTCGCTATGGTTCCGTTCATATCTCGCATTATCTTTTGAGGTCAATGTACCAGAAAAAACGGGTTGTACGTCCGCAAATCATGATGATAACATATCCGGTTAAAAATGCATAATTCATAGTAATGCTAATTTAAATTACACATTATTGTGTGTACATGTATTTTAAACAAAATAATCATTTAATTATACTACTGTTTCAGTACAATTAGCGGAAGAAGTACATATTTTAGTAATAGTACCAAGCCTTGCACTTACAAACAGCAAGAAAATATACCTGTACAGAAAAGATTGTACCAAAACTTCGGCTGGTATTGTACTTACCACGATGTAAGTACCTACAATTGGAAGCATAGCAACTACCTTCCAAACAGGTTTACGGGGACACAAAACCGGGGTACTGAAGACGAACAATAGGCTCTATCAATGTAGGGCTGGCACATATGTTATTTCTTAATATCGCTACTACAAATAGTCATAGAATAGATCTAGCCCTTTCATTGCCAAGAGTTGTACACTTTGACAATGGATATTTTATTTAGAAAAAGTTAGTAACACAAGAAAGAAAATTATTTATTTTAAAACAATCAAGCCAATCATAGACACTTTTATAAAATTAATTTAATACATAACGTTGTTTGTTTTTTTTGGTCTTTTCATTGAAATAGCTTGTTTCCGTCAGCCCTAAAAAACATCGAGTTAGCTACACTTTTTTTTCGGAACTTGAATAGGAGAGTGCATAGAGCCAGGTAACCCGATCTAGAGACGTGACCCGCTCTCGCCTACATTGTTCGTGCCATACGATACTTTTGCTGGACCGCGCATAAATCACTAAACATCGCGTCATGGTTGGTGAAATGTATTGCCGACTTACACACTGACTTTAACTGATACATATATACACGGTCGTGTATTTTTTACTGCTGAAGTATAACAAAGCAAAGAATCTGTAATCTAAAAATAATTGTATTAAATGCTAAATATATCTACCTAGCATATTGGAGAAAACGTCCTGTTGGTCCTAATATTTTCAGGTCCTTTCACCCGAAGCTTCGAGCCTCAAAAGAGTAATTACCTCAGCTAGTACGAAGTTGGATGAACGTTGAACGCCCTTTAAAGAGGTTACCGACAACTAAACTCGAGACACATTCAATAGAATAAATTTGTATTACGCACAAGATAAGGGTCAAAACATTGTGAAACCTTTCTTTAAATGCATATTTATCTTAATTTGCTTCAAGGTTGTTGAACTTTAGTTGCATAAGAACTTAAGGAACTTGTTCGGATGCGATATGGAATTATTATGGACATTTGACTCTGCAGATGGTCAGATACGTAGTTACAAGTTTTGTCTCTGCAGTATCGCAACTAAAAAGGGATTTGACACGCGATGTTTAGTAATATAAAAGTTATATAGGTTATGGTCACGATTATGGGCAATGGGCCAGATTTAAAAAGTATTAACATTAAACTGCCATGAGATGTTGTACTGGCAAAAATTAATTATTGTATTTTGGTATAAATTATCATTAATGTATCG